CCCGGACATATGATGTCTAGCGGTTTAATATGATATTTCAGATTGATATTAGGAAACGTCATATGTCTACTCGGAAGCAGATGTGCCATGTCATTTATTTTCCACTGTGGGCGGTGCAAGGTTCCTAAGCAAGAAAGGTTTTGAAAATACTTCCATTCAATTTTTAGGCCTTGCTATCAAACCAAGCTCAACGCCGGTCTCTGCGTTCATCTTATTGTTTTATTAAGACAGGAGGTCGTCTACAGCTTCTCGTTTGTGACTTGGTGGTACATAGCACTTTGAGGATGCCTCCTCCACATGACTGTCGGAAGCTATTTAGACCAGATTTATGATGAGTACTTCTCAAGAAGGTACATGAGTACCGTGAATGCGGCTGCTTTCAGAATACTGCCCGTTGTTCATCCAGATCTATCCTGCCAAAGTAGACCAATACGCCGGTTCACTTCTGGATCGTTGTCGCCATCGATATTGAACATAGTCCAAGGTGCTTGAAATGGTCCCTCTCGTATGTCGCGTTCTCATAGTATATCCTTAATATCTCAACAGCGATTCCAGGCGGCAGTGCGTTTGAAAAAGGCTGGTGTTTTATTCGTAGCCATACTGGAACATAACATAGAGACAGTCTACTTGTAGACTACGCAATGCATTTTGTGCCGGGTATGCCGCCGCGGACATTTTGACCCATATTTGTTACGACTGTTCTTCCAAGTGAAGTCTGTGGTCTTCTGCATTTGCTGAACCGTTTTGAAATGAGCTGTGAACCTGTGACGTTTGCCACTGTACAAACCTTTGAACTATGATCGTAAACGTCAGCGATGGTTCATCACCCAACCAACTATCTATTTTCCCGTCCGCATAAGTTGGCCATTTGTCTGCTGTGGTTCAATGCGTATAACCTCCTTCGAGCTCTGATGATTCCTTTAGGAAGAAATGCATGAACGAACCATGACGGATAAAAGGTCGAAGGAGGGCTATTTAAGTGGTTCGCCAATAGTTATGGAGTCTGCCAGTGGGACATGCTTTTGCACGTGCTACTGAATGCTGTTCTCGACCCTCTTCTCCGAAACAATCATCTGAGAAAAGCGAATCACATTCTCAAAAGGCGATGCGTTTCAGATTTATATCCACACATCCTGCCGACCTGGAGCACGTGGGTGATATGATCTCGGTGCACTACCGAAATTATCACACGTACAAAATTTCCATGTGCCTACTGTTAATCGATTTCAAGGACGCGTATGAAATTCGAGCATTCCTTGAAAAAGCAATTGAATTCGTCTCTGTAATTTTAAACCCTCAGAGGGGAACGCACCCCCAAATCACGTTGTTTAAACATTCGCTGTAGATTGTCGCTAGCAAAGGTGTCCGGAAAGGGAACATCCGCTGCCTAAACGTGTTCACCAGTATATTAGAGACTATCATACTATAACTCATGGATTCGTATTGATTGATGATAAAATGCCCCAGATGCCATTTTTTGCTGATAATAGTTCCGTCATAGCAGATCAATCGACAGCGCATCAGGTGCTGCTCTAGAAAATCTGTGATCTGCAAATGAGGAGAGGAAAAAATTAAATGGATGAATAATGCATTTCATTTCCTGAATTCGACTTTGACGCCAAATGACTAACGAGTTTGCAAGATAGGCGTACTG